CGCCTGATTTAAATGTCACACCTGAACGCTCACATCGTTTTAATTATGTTTGAAATTATGAACATTGCTCAACATCATGAAAATTAAACCTTATTTTCAATAAGCAATCCTGAAAAATATTTGGGGGTGCTTAACTTTTTTCCAGGTGTATATATACACATACATATGCTTTGTCCATTGTGATGCTTTTATTGTTTGTTAGCTTTTATTTGTTATTTGTGAGGTACAACTTGTACAGCTTTTGAAAGTTGGTATTTTCATTAGCTATTTGAATTGAGAAAATCTTGTGAATATTTCTTCTGTGTTGCTTTTGTAGACCTAAATTAATGTAATTTGTCTTGTTTGCAGTTCTTATTTCACTACTGTGTTCTTGGGTTACTTTCAGTGACAAACTGTTTTACTTTCTTTCATTACTTTTAGGGTGTAGTTTTTAGTCAGTTATGGAGTACACTGAGTTTTCCCTGCTGTAATCGCATTTTCCTTTGTGTTACTGATATGGCTCCACACTGCAGGTATCTCTATCTTCTAAACATAGGCCAAATGGGGTACAGTGGCTAGTATGCCTGACTGTGGAACTGAGGCTTTGTGGTTTGCATCCTGGTTACTGTAAAAAAGTAAATAAATGCATTTTTGGGCTGTAGATGCATTATAAGAGGGTTTTTTAAATCCAACTATTTGATTTGACAAGAGTTGGCAGAGTGTGGTGTTGACTAGCTACTTTATCTCTAGTTTACTAATTTGTAAGTAACAAACTAGAGATAAAGTAAAAATTACAAAAAAGCCCAGTGCAGATAGCCCTCATGTACCTTTGCATGAAATTCAACAATACACACAGACATTTCTTCAAAACAAGTTTCATAATTTGCATGCTTTTATAATCATAGAATGAGAAAAGTTTGTGTCAGAAAGTCCTATAATCTAATTCTTTTAGAAGGTGGTAAATTTTAGACATTGATTGCATTGCAAATTTAACACTTCAGGTTTATTGCAACACTAGGTTGGAGCTTTTAACTTGTATAGTCACAAAGAATGGAGCTAATCATAAGTTTTAGTGGAGCATAGTTACTTTTACAGACAATGTATTGAAGTGCTTAGAAATAAATTGATAATTTTATATTAATATTCCAAAACTTCAGAAGTAAAAAAATTTTGAATTTTTCATTAAAGAAACAAAATCTATATATTTAATACATTACAATGTATTTGAAATTCATATTTATTAATGTAATGAATGATATTTTCCAAGTATCATAACTCTTAAAACACGTTTTTCTTTAATTGGATGAAGTTCTATAAACTAAGAAAAACAGATGAAATATTTTGACTAATAAAAAGGTTGTAAAATCTGCAATGAACCATCATTTCAGACCATTTAAGGATATCATATATTGAAGTGAATTTGAGCTGGAAAGATTTATATCATCAGAATAGTTCTTTGCATATTGACAATTTATTATAGTTTTCATGTAATGAAATAGAATACAGTAACATAATTTTATTTATGTAACTGAATGGCCTAGATAAGTCAGCAACTTTTTATGAGCTTTATACTTTGTAGAAAGGCTTAATTTTGTATTATAGAAAAAATTCTTGATCATATTTGTATTTAGTTAAGGTAGGGCTTCATCAAAAGGTGGTGGTGCGATTGGAATAAAACACATTGAAAAGAATTTAGAGATGTTACAACATCTGGTTATGCATGGTTACTTATATTAATTTATTCCATAAATTTTGATCCAAAACATTATTTCTGGAATTTTTATGTGAAGTTTTTTGAGGCACTGTACTCTGCAAGGATGTAAATAAATCAAATTTCATTTATGTTGAATGTGAGTTTCCCACACTGTACTGCTGAATTCCAACTAAGTTGCTGATTCAGTAGACAAACAACCCTTGTTTGTAACTTTCAATCTGTAATGATTGATTATGTAGAGAGCTATTTAACTTTCGAACGGTAATGGTTTATTATACAGAATAAAATTATCATTCATCTAAGAAGTGATAAGCTCAATTTCTAATTATTTTGAATACATTGAAATACGAAATTTTCTTATTTTTCATAAGATTCTTTCTCCATCTTTGAATAATTTTAGCATTATATATATTTATGAGACCAAGTTATATAAACGTTTTGAGGGCTAATGTGGAGAAAATGAGTTGATTTAATAGCTAAAATAAATAAAGCTGTTATGACATTACCTAAATGATGTAATATTTCTGTTCATCATTGTATTCTAAAGTTGTATGGTTTGAATTTTATATAAGGTTTAATTAATATTAAGTGATAGATGTTTTACCATCCTTTTAAATTTGTACATAAATTATGTGTAATAAACTTTATTCTGGGTTTTTATTTTATTCTAGGTTTTGATGGATTTTCTGGTAAGATTTTTTTTATCTCTTTGTATGTGTGGCATCTTGTTTCTTTTAGCTTGTTAATTTTGATATCATATAAAGTTCAGAATAATCATAAGTTTGTAATTTTAAGAAATATTTTCAAAAATAAGCAGTTATATTTTGTTTTATATTACGTGGACTTATGTTAGCATTTATATTATATTCCTTACAGAAACAAACTTCATATAAATTTTCATTTGATCAAAACACTTTTTTTTTACCTGTACAAAACACACCAAGTTAGTATAAAGATGTGATATTAAAAAAAAACAAAAAAACTAAGTTATGTGAAGTAGCAAACTCTTAAAAAATGTGATGTAAAAGTGTTGTAGTTAAACCAGAAAAAACTGGAAAGCTTTTGTCTCTTTTTCAATATTCAGGTTGCTACTTCTTTCAGTTGCATTATATAAGGGGGCCAGTTTTCCTGTATAACTTTTCTGTTTTCACATTATATTTTAACAGGTCTGTCTTATGTATAAATTGGCCTTTTTTTATTGTATCTTTATGTGACTGACCTATTATTCTAACTTTGCTTTTTGGTACATGTAAAATGTTTTGATTAGATACTACTATTTGATTCTTACTTTAAAAGTTATTGAAAATAAGATTATACCCAAAGTTGGATAAGAAACTCAGCTGCTGGGAGAAGTTATAGAAACATGCAACATCTTAGACCACTATGTAATTACCTCATTTTAGATTTTTCACATGCTTCTAGTCCCTTAAGTCATTAATTTCAATCTAGTGGCTTTGGAGAACAGTTCAGCTCTGAAATTATTACAATTTCTAATATGTTTTCTACAGTTATCAAATCCTAGCTTCAGTTAATATGCATCAGTGAAATTTCGCTTTGTGCTGGCCCTTCTCTGTACTATATATTTTGTTTTTTCAACAGGGAGAAATAGTAATATAATTTTAACACTTTTTATTGCTTGCTTCTCTTAATCCAAACAAATATTAAGCTGTTGTTCTTAATGTAATGTAACATCATTTTAGATCTGTTAAGAAACATTAAAATAGTGGCATTCCAGCATTTAGAACAGGCTGTGGCAGTACCTCAAATTTTGTGAATAATTTAGTTCCATTAAAAACATTTGGACTTGAGGATGGATTCTTTCTACCCATATATTTCGGTGAAATGCCATTTTTCATATTTGTATTTGTCTTGAAAAGTACTTTTGGAAGGTTTGAATTTTGTGACTTATCTCCACATTAGGTAACCTTATAGAGTCTACTCACTATTTTCTGTAGGAGTTGAACCATGATAAAATCTAGATTTTTCAATAAATAAAAAGCAGTAAGTAGAAGAAAGTATAGGATCCAGGCATTGACTAACTAATACGTAGAGTACGTTTTACTAATAAAAATGGATACTTTCAAAACTGTTTTTCTTTTTTTTTTTCTACTGTAGGTTCTCTCGCTATCTGTTTTCAAGCTGTGATCCTGTTTCTTTAGAGGGTCATTTTTGTTTTTTGGATGTGTGCAAGCTCAGTACATGTAGCTATGCTATGACAAGCAGTTTTAAATATAATTTTTATTTTGAATAGTTTTGTTGTATTCAGATTTTTGTAGTAATATTAGTATCAGATGATTTTAAAAATATTGTCTGATTTATACAGTTTTTCTTAATATTTAATGTACTGCTTCTTATCTAGATGTAGATGAAGAATTGGACTCAAAAGTATATACAACCCAAAAGGACAAAACAGCAAAATATACATATAACTTTTCAGCATCTATGTATTACTTTACACTTGCAGGTAAATATTGGTTTAATTTTGATCATATTTATTGCTGTATGTTTGATTTAACTTAATAATATTCTATTTTGTCTTCCATTGTGTCATAGTATTTATTACACAGAATTACCATTTTATACTAGTATACTTGGTGAATTTTGTATTGTCCTGTGTTGGTGAATGTTTTTAGTATTTACTCTTTTTAATGTGACTTTTCATTAACTGTGTTTTCTTTAGGACGAATATCAAGGAAAGCTAGTTGGCTATGGTACTTTTTGTGGAGTTGTTTGTACAAAGTAATCAGTCATGTTCTGGTGTTTGATACATGGTTTCTCTCCAGGTATGAGCTATAGTCATATAAAGTAGAAGAAAATTTTAACATAATGAGGTAAAACTATCACAATACTTGGGTTAAAATCCCAGTTCCATTTTTTTCAAAGCAATTATTGTTTGCTCTTTTTTTTTTACAAACATTTGAAATTAATGCTGTTATTATTGTTTTGTAATTGTCATCTTGTAATTATAAAGCTTGCTTTTATTGTATTTTTTAATATAAAAATTTTGACGTATTACATGATTTTTGGTGGAAAAAATATTTTAGTGAATTACTGGAGTTACTGTTTCATGAATTTAAGTAAGTTGCTAATTGTTTATGATGAAATAATGAAACTAGTATATACTTTCTCACATCAGCGTAGATTTCTTAACATCTATAATGATTTTTATGTTTGTTTTAAAAGTAAGTTTAATAATAGCTTGCAATGAACTAAGACATCTGGTAGTGAGACTATCTTTTTTTAAAGCTTGTATTTTGTAAAAGAGAAGTATTGTATAACAATAAATAGGACTACTATCTTAAAAGTATGCAACTACAATGGAACAATAGAATTTTGAAGCACACGTGTATAATGGGATTGATATTGAAAACCCAAAAAATGGAACTGCAGGTTATCAAAATAATTGGCCATTCTGTTGTAAAGAAAGGTCATTATTTTATACAGTTCCTTCAGAAACAAAAACAATTAGCACCTTAACAGCAAGTTACACTGTATTAAAACTGGTATCTGTCACAAAGCATGAAAAATTTGAAGCCACTCTAAGTCCTTTCACATACAAAAAAGCATATTTTAGAGTGAAGTATTTTTAATAAACTAAAAAAAAAGATTTGTCTGTGAATGTATAGAGTATTTTTTTACTAGTTTGTGTGCAAAGTGATATTCATGTTAAAATTAAAGATACTTTTCTTAATCTCAAAATTCCCAAATTTCATTTGTATGATCTCCAAAACCTCCTAAATATATTTCAAATGTTTGTTTCAGTAAAACTTTATATTTTATCTGTTATTTTCTTTACCCTAACTCTATACAAGGTTGGTCACTTTGACCAACCTCGTAACCATCAAAAACCATCTAAATTACCAAATTTTTCTTTCCAGAATGACTTCAAATTATAATGTGAAACTACATTCATTTAACATTATACATCTATTTGTACTTAAATTTTATTGTTTTATTGCCTTTTGATTGCCCTTTGAACCATGTCTAACTACTATTAGCACCATTATAAGTTGTAAATCACTTTGGGAATGTGGAGCTCGCATTACGCTACTGAATTACACTACCCACGAGCTGCTCACATGCATGCCTTATAAAACATTTAACTAACCTAAAGAGATCCCTATTTTTACATTTTAGTTATTTTTATAATAATAAATAAAGAATAAACATGAAAAACAAGAATAAAATACTTACCCTGGTCTTCTTTTTCTTTTTTTTTGCTGTCGACTGTTGATTACACTTAACCTTACTTTTTTATAGTAATGGTAGTAATGCACTAAATAATTTTTATTTAATTAAATAATGCACCAAAGAGCATAGGATAATAACATGCAAAAAGCAGACAATTTTCCCTAACTATTACAATTTTTCTGGCTTTCTTACTATGCAACAAGAGCCATTACAAATTCATCCAAGCTAGTCATTATCTTTCCCATGGGAATGAAGCTTGTACTAACAGAGAAATTGACAATTCTCCATTAAGAAAACAATGTAATATAATACATCATTTGATAGATGAAAACCTTGGCTTTCTATTGGTTATACATAATATAATGTCAGGAAGAACTATTAACAAATCTTGAAAGAGAGGATGTGACAGGTGGGTGTGGCAAGAGGGGTCTGTTTTTCTATTTGATGGCTCTGTAACCAAACAAAATTGAAAGCTATAAAAATTGTGGTTTGTCTGAGCAATGACGATTTTATAGTGAGGGGTGGTGAATATAATATAAAAGAGAGGATGCCTAGAGAAAATATGTCACATTTCTCACACTAGGGGAAATTCAGGATTTTTTAAATAGTGCCTTATAAATTTAAGATCTTAAATCTTATATACTATTAAGATATCGATTATTAGCTATGATTTTATGCTATACTAATTGATATAACATAAACAACAAGTAGTTTGATAAAATTTTGAATGTAAGTCACTAGAGGGATAATGTGATATATAAGAATTTCTAATAAGAAGCTGTGTCTTGTATGAAATTTTAAAACTGCCTAAAACTTGTAGATACTTAATGCTGTAATCTACACACGAAAATGCATGAAATATAATTGATTCATTTGAGAGATGCAAAACACCGTATACTTCTGATTTGTATCCTTATTACATTACTTGAACCATAATTGAACACAATGTGGAATTGCATAATGCATTAAATAACCTTTAAGCTCATTCCAGAAATTAACAACAGATCAAATGTAAGCTTAGTGTTATGTAAAACAAACTGACAAGAAGTACATAATATCATAAATTAATAAACAAAAAGCTAAAATCCTACAGTATCTAGAATGCATTGAATTATCTAAATCAGTAAATAGGACTATAGTTTATTAAATTTAAAATCTAGAATATTGAACTAACATTGTTTTTATTTGAAACAGAAATAAAGAGCTTCAGAATAGGACTGTTTTTTAAAACTGTAGCATGGTTAGGTTTATGAGGTTGAGTTGTTTTTCAGTATATATTTGGTATGATTTAATTAATTTTTATTCACAGATTGTCCGGAATCAACAGAAAATGCCTTCTTGTTATTCCTCTTCTGTTTCTTCTTTTATTCCTCTTATATGGTATGTTCAGGTGATGTTAAGTTATTAATTTTAGGCAGTAATTTGCTATGACTGGTTAATAGTAGTCAGAACTTGATAGGGAATGTGAAAAGTAGTTAACATTTTAATTTTTATTGTATACAGTCTCAGCTATTCACTATGGAAATTTAATAATTAAGGACTGTTTGTTTGTTAGAACGAAAACTGGCATAAAATGTCCCCTAAGCTGTTGCCCTCAGTAGCTCAGCAGTAATTCTGAAGGCTTATGTATAGTCCACTGTGTAGTTTTGTGCATAACAATAACAAACAAACAAAATCTAAGTTTTCTTTGATAAATTGTTTAGGCAGAGAATTCATGATGAAACTAAGTGGAATGGATGGCAACTGCCTGTTATAGAAACACAAGTGTAGAGGATGACATTTTGAAAGTCTTCCACCTTTCATCTTCAGGTCAGCATGTGTATGGTGTTGTCTGTATTTATAGTGTTTTCATGGATTGTGGAGAGCATGTTATGGTTGGTTAGTTTATCCATGTTTCTGATTGGTGGAGAGACTTTTGTAGATTCAACCAATGGTAGCCACAGGTTACTCACCTCTAATTCAGAATCTCTGTTTAGTAAAGGTTTTATTGTGTTAATGTAAAATGATTCTTTAATTTTTTCTTGTCTTCCAAAACTTGTCTGTGCCGATGATTCTAGTTTTTCCCAGTTTATTTTGTGTCCAGTTGACATGGTGTGTTTGTTATTGCGAGTCTTCCTCCCGTTTCTCCAATGTATGTTTTGTTGCAGGAACATGGAATTTCATAAATGACATTTTTGTGTTTCTTACTGGTAGGTTTCTGTTTGTTTTCACCAGAATGGATCTTAATGTCTTGTAAGATTTCCACTGGACATCTATGTTGAATTTCTTGGCTGTGTGTTTGAGTTTTTCACTGCAATTTTGCAAGTAGGGAAGGAAAATGTTAGTAGTGGTAGTGGTTTCCTTATCCTTTCTTTCTGTTTTGGTCTTCTTTGGGGAGTTTTTGATGAAGGAGGAGGTGTAACCATTGTGTTTAAAGTGCTCTATGACTTTTTGGAGTTCTGTTTCAATGGATGTCTTATCGCAAATGTTTTCTGCTCTCTTATTTAGGCATTGGATTATACCATGTTTTATCAATTTTGGAAGTTAGGACTGGAAGTGTAGGTGCCTGTTCGTGTGGGTAGGTTTTCTGTAGACAATTGTGATGATTTTTCTCTCTTGTTTGATGATGAGTATGTCAAGAAATGGTAGGCTGTTTTGTTCATCTGTTTCCATGCTGAAGTGGATTCTTTTGTCTATAGAACTAAGATGGTCTAGGAAGGCTGGTAAGTTTTCATGACTGTGGGGCCAGATAACGGTGTTGTCAACACAATGCCTGTAGAAACTTGGTTTAATAGGTGTGGATGAGAGGGCTTTTTCTTTAAAGTCTTCCATGAAAATGTCTGCTAGGATTGGAGAGAGTGGTAATCCCATGGCTAGACTGTCTGTCTGTCTGTTCGTAGAATTCCTTGTTGTATTGTAAAAATGTTGATTGTATGCAAATAATTGTTAGTTCCATGATGGTGTCTATCTTCATGTCAGTTCTGTGTGGTAGAGAATTGTCATTCAGCAGTTGTTGTCTGGTGATTTGAAGGGTTTCTAAAGTTGGAACATTGATAAATAGGTCTGTGACATCGAAACTGACCAGAACATCCTGGGATCTGATGTGTAACATTTTGAGTTGTTTTATTAAATCTGTTGAGTTGTGAATGTGATGTTTGGTATTCCCTTGTAGTGGATATAAGATAGGTACCAAGAATGTTGCTAGTTGATAGCAAGGTGAGTTTATAGCACTGACAATAGGCATTAAAGGCATATTAGGTTTGTGTACCTTAGGTAGTCCATAGAATTTTTTTGAGGGGGAAAATTTTCTTTGGTTCTTAAATCTTTGGCTAACTTCTCATGGATTAAGTTTTGTTTTTTAAGTTTGTTCAGTGTTCTATTGATGAGTCTCTCTGTTTTTTCTCTAGGGTCATTGGTGATCTTCTTGTATTGGTGTTTGTCTAGTAACTGCTCGATCTTGTCCTAATCATTGATATCTAGGATTACTATACTGTTTCCTTTGTCTGCTGGTAGAATTGTGATAATGTTGTCCTGTCTTAGATGGTTCAGTGCACTGTATTCCTGTTTAGTGATGTTTGGTTTTGGTTTCTTGGCCTTCCTGAGGATGGTGTAAGTTTGATGTTGGAAAAGATAAGGAAAACACTACTACTACCACTTACCTTCCCTACCTGCAAAATTTCAATGAAAAACTCAAATGCATAGCCTAGAAATTCAACATAGACTTCTGGTGTAAATCTTACAAGACATTAAGATCCATTTGGTGAAAAACAAACAGAAACCTACCAGTGAGAAACACAAAAATGTCATTTATGAAATTCTGCATTCCCACCACGAAACATACATTGGAGAAACAGGAAGAAGACTTGCAACAAGATAAATAAAATATAAGATAGTACAAGATTTAGGAAAACAAAAAATTCAGCCATTACAAAACTCTACATGTCAACTGGGCACAAAATAAACTGGGAAAAAACTAGAATCATTGACATAGACAAATTTTGGAAGACAAGAAAAATTAAAGAATCATTTTAAATTAACATAATAAAACCTTCACTAAACAGAGATTCTGGATTAGAGGTGAGTAACCTGTGGCTATCATTGGTTGAATCTACAGAAGTCTCTCCATAATCCATGAAAATACTATAAAGACAGACAACACCATACACATGCTGACCTGAAGATGAAAGGTGGAAGACTTTCAAATGTCATCCTCTAACCTTGTGTTTTTACCACAGGCAGTTGCTGTCCATTCAACTTAATTTCAAAGTCTAAGCTATTAAGCCATGTATGATTGTTTGTTTCAGGAGTGTGGTTATCTATTCCATGAAAAGATGTTTATATTTATATGTTAAATACAGATACATTTCACTTCATGTCAGTTTTCTAACAAGTAGAAAATCAGTCTTTAATTATTATATTAATGCAGTGAACAGATGTGCCTGTATTATATATACAGGCACCATAATAATAACCATATATATATATATGGTTATTACTTGATATCCTAAATTTCATATAATTTCTAAGATTTTAACTATTTTCCTCACAAAATTAATGATTTTTGAAGCATCTTTTTTTAAATTTTCATCCTAATGAAGTTTTAAAATAGAAATTTTTCTAAATGATGGGCTGGAGAAGTGAGACTCCTTTTTAAACCTCTATTTTTTTATATTTTTTTTTATACAAATATGTACAACTACTTGTGTATAGTTTTAATGAAATGATTATTTTGTAGTAGCTGTATCTTGTGTAAAACATGTAGATCATAAAGGAGGATTAGCAAGACCAAAAGTTTGTATTAGAGTTATATTCAAGTAGTATCTCATTGAAATACGTAAGAGAAAAAAAGATTTTCTTTTACTACAATTTTGGATCAACAAAAACAGAATGTTAGATGTTTACATTTTGTCCACAAAGAGTCCTGTTGTGTAAAAAATGAAGTTTTTTCATCTATAGATAAGATTATTATAAAATGTTATTCTAGCATGTTGGGTTATGCCAAGAGAATTTCACGTAGATTATAATTCTATTCGAATATTTTGGCTTTTTTACCCTTATTTCTTCTAAAAATAAAGGAATGTACTATTGAAAGAAGTAAAAAAAAAAAATGCTAGAAAGTTCTCATCCTATGGATCCATACAAAGGTTGTTGGAATGTGTAAACACTTTCTTTTATTGATGTTTCAACACATGAAATAAGTTTAAAAATTAATAGAATTAACTCTTTCAGCACTGGCTCGGTCCCTGGGACTGACCTTGTAACCATTTTGTGCTTGTTATAGTTTTCATGCTATAACTTTTAAATTTGTAAGCATATGTTAACAAAATTTGGCAGATTATCAGTAAACATTACAGTACTTTCATACACACAAAATATAAATTTTTTTACTTAGCCTTAAGGTTTATAAAAC